TTGGCAAAAAACATCTGGGAATTCTCTGACTATAGGATACATGATTCACATGGCATTATCATCAGTAGATACGTCCATAACAGAACACAGATACCCTTTTGCATCCCTTCCTAATTCAATTTTAACAGCTTTCGCAGATGAATCAATATGGGGAAGGTTATACTCCAACCCCATTAAACACAATTCAGGCAAACCAGGTGGATGGAAAACTACTTGTTTTGTTACACAGTCTATGGTGGCATGATATTTCGTTAACCAGTCCATCCCCAATATTACATCAAAATGGTCAATGTTCAATGGCAGTAAATCGATAAACAGATGTGCATCTCCAACAATGATTTCACAAGCAGGGTTCATGTATGCACAGGTCATAGATCCCCCAACGGGTGAGGATACAGCTAACAGATAGTTCATGGGTTCTAAGGGTCTATTCAATTTTCAAGAAAAGGAATGCGATACATAAGAATGCGTAGACCCCGAATCAATTAGTACATATGCATTCTGAGTACAAATAGAGAGAATACCTGACACAACGGTCTCGGTATTCTGGACGTCTCCCGGTACTAGGACGAACACTCGACCCTGCCTCATAGGCTCTTTCCCGGTAGCTTTGGGGTTCGGTTTTGGTGTAACAGTTGATGCCGCTACGCTTGGTGTAGCTTTACTACTAGTTTGTGGAGCAGAGGGACAGTCTTTAACCATGTGGCCCACCTTGTTACACCTATAACAGGCTCCTGATATCTTGTAACAGACTCCCTTGTGATTTTTACCACATTCAGAACAAGGCGGTATTGTACGGTTTCCTTGACTAGAAGTAGTCGTTGACCCCATATTCTGTTTCTTGTTCAGTGGACTATGCTTGCCTTTCTTAAACTTAAAATTCTGCTTTTTACCCCGCCATTCAGACAACGGCGTTTCAGTTTTCAGTGCTTCAATGTTTGATTCAGCCATCAAGGCTCTGTCAAGAACATTCACATAGTTCGGTAGTTTCAGAACATTTATTCGGTCAAGAATTGCAACATTAAGGCCGCCTTCAAATTTTCTGGCCTTCTTATAATCAGTATCCACCATATGCGGTGCATATCTAGCAAGCTCTATGAATTTCGTTTCATATTCAGCAACGGACATTGTCCCTTGTCTCAGCTGTTCAAACTCAGTTACTTTTCTATCCCTAACACACTGAGGGAAGTACTTTTCAAAGAAGGCTCCCTTGAATTGAGCCCAAGTCAGAACGGTATTTTCATCACGGATGAGCATCCACCACCTTCTAGCTTCTTCTTGCAATGTAAAGGTGGCTAACAGTACTTTGTGTGCTTCAGAGCACGGGAAAACTTCAAATAATTTTTCAGTCTCCAGAACCCAAGCTTCAGCTTTTAACGGTTCAAGGCCTCCCTGAAAGGATGGCGGTTTCATTTTGCTGAACTTCTGGGTGAGAGCAATTATGTCCCCATCATTAGCATTCACATTCTGTTCATTCACATTCACATTTTGTTCCGGTACAACCGGAGGAGGAGGTGGGGGCTGTTGATTTAGTTGTTGGTCCAGTCTTGCAGTTATCAGTTCCATCATTTGTTCCAGTCTGGCCATTCTGGCCTCAGAGGATGAGGTTTCAGTTTCAGTTGCAGTATTTGCATTATCCATTTCACTATAAGCAGTTATAACAGTTTTAAACATAAGTAGTCATTTGTTTAACAGTTTTAACACGTTAACATATATTCAGTCATAACATAACCACACACTTATCATGCTCATGAAATGCCCTAATCACTTTTCTAGGACATCCTATAGCTCATACGGACACGTGTGTGCGGTATAACTCGTGGTTGGGTATCGCTCTGATACCACTCTGTCAGGACCCAAACTCGGCCCTATGGGTTTAGCACCGTAATCGGCCAGTAATCCGACATTACCGAAGGCCTGCAGAACAGTAGTACAGTAAAACAGAGTACAGGGCCTGGCGGAAGCCAATACAGTAAAGAAACAATGCCCAATGAGCTGTGATAGTCTGTATGCAAAAAGACTT